TCTGCCTCCTTCCTTACGGCTTGTGGGCTTGTGTACAGTCTCAGGGTGCTGGATTTGGGGTGGAACCCTTAGCTGGCCAATGGAAGAGATGAAGGCCACGGATGTTAAGACTCTGAAGCTACTAACCATGGTTAGTAGCTTCCATGGTTAGTGGAGGGTTCCACCCCAAATCCAGCACCCTGAGACTGTACACAAGCCGTAAGGAAGGAGGCAGAGGACTAGTGAGTGTGAGAGCCACTGTCCAGGATGAAACATCCAAGATCCATAAATACATCAAGGACAAAGCCTCAACGGATGATGTGCTACCTTTCATTTAATTTAATTTGTGATTTGTGTTTTGTTGTATGTTGAATTTGTGTTGTTTTTAAATGAATAAACTTTAAATTAAACTAAACTAAAATACTCAGGGGGGGCTATGCCACCCCCTGCTGGTGCCCCTGTTGTCATGTAGTTGGAAACACGCAGAGCGCAGGCCTGCGGAGCACACACAGCTGAGGAGAATGAAAATTGTGAATTGTCTAAGAAACATTTTAACTCTCCATGAGAAAAAAACTGTCAACTCAGCAGATTAACTCAGAACAGCTCAGCTGTGATGATTCCTCTGCTCCACAAAATGCACACAATAGATTTGTTGTTGTGTAAAGTTGTGTGTAATTTATGGATCAATGTCATCTGTTCTGCAGGTTGATATCACCACAAGAAGAACTGAGGACAGTGTGTGTTTTTTTTTGTTTGTTTGTGTCACACTGAACAAATTACAATCAGGTATTTTACTGTAGTTCTGAGTGGAGTCATGCAGATGAATGAGAGACTTCATGACTCTAAAATATAAATCACACCGCYGCAGAAACTCGCTGCGATTCGTTTCTTCACATCAACTATTTAATAAATATTTTTCTAAGTTCCACCAAACTCAAGTTCCTCTGTTTACAGTCATTTATTAAAGACATGTAAAGGTGGAAATGRGCCGCTGAAGACAGCAGCTTCACACACACGCGTACACACCAACACTGAATAGACTGCATATATCATGTAAACTCAATCATGAAGGAGATAAAATTTGATTTATGTATATGAAATTTGACCTAACAGCAACCAGTAGCTACAGGTGTTTGATGACGTAATCCGCACTGCCCCAATTCTCACTTGTTTTGCAGACTTGTAACCTGCGCACTCCAACACTTATGTTCACTTCAACTGAATCCACACTTCACAGAGGGGTGTAGGGTGCACTGAGCATTGGGACTGGGCCACAGTGCACTTCAAGACTGCTTCACCCAGTATCAACTTTCACACAGAGACATACTGCTGCTGGTGCCATCTACTGTGCTCTAACTGGATACACATGCATGAATCTGTCTGTCTGTATCTGTATCTGTCTCATATAGAATAATATAAAAGATCCTGTATGATTAGGACTCAAATAATCCACATACTGTCAAAGTAACTGGTGTCGTCCTCTGTCTCCAGCTGAGGTATGAACTCAGCTTTCTGCCTCAGAAGACCGTTCCAGTCCAGGCCCTGAAAGAACATGTGCATCTTCACCTCTGTGGTCCCACCTGAAGTCAAGTACAAACAAAACAAACTTCACTTTACTTAAGTATCAAAAGTAAACTTCTGACACAAAATGTACTTAAGTACTGTATTAAAAGTACAAGTACCTTATCATAAAAATACTTTGGTAAAAGTTATTCTCTAAGACTATTACTTCAGTAAAAGTCTTAAAGTATCTGATATTGTTTGTACTTAAGTATCAAAAGTAAATTTCTGACACAAAATGTACTTAAGTATTAAAAGTAAAAGTACTGAATAAAAGAACAAGTATCTTATCATAAAAATACTTCGGTAAAAGTTAAAGTCTTGTCTAAGAATATTACTTGAGTAAAAGTCTTAAAGTATCTGATATTTTTTGTACTTAAGAATCAAAAGTAAATTTCTGACACAAAATGTACTTAAGTATTAAAAGTAAAAGTACTGAGTAAAAGTGAGCAGTTAGATTTTCCTAAATGACATTTATTGGGAGGTGACCGGCCCCCCAAAAAACATTTTTTTCTGACAGCGTGCAGCTGTGATGGGTTGTGTACAAGCTAATAGTGTGTCAGAATGGTATATATTAACAGTGGTTTGCAAAAGTATTCATACCCCTTGAACTTTTCCATATTTTGTCACATTACAACCACAAACATAAATAT